GCTATTACATACATATTAATCTGTCAGTCTGGCCTTACTATAATTTGCTCTGGGGTTAAAACTGCTGAGCGAGGAAATCAGATGGTAAGAAGTAGCTGGACCGTGGAATTTCGTCATCTTCGACTTTTTTCTGGCCGCTGGGCGAGACAAGACGAGGGGGAAAGTAAAGCAGAAAAACTCGACAATCAGAAAAATTTCTCCTTGGCAAAGTACTACGTTCCCCTCCCCCCCCCTCCGACTACCCAACCAAGCGCGACCCTCTGTTGGAAATTCTGCAAGCTACGACGTTCCCTGACCTAGGAGGAAGGAAATGGCTTCGTCGCAGTCGAACGGAGCGGTATCACGAGGCGTAAAAATGAGCCTACCCACGGCTTTTCTATCGTTGACTACGTGAACTGACCCATATTGGAGGAAAAGAAGCCGCCATGTGAGCTGGACTCCTACAACGCTTCCTGACATTGACCCGTATTACGACAACCTCATATGTAGCTCTTTGAAAAAAGTGCAAAGCTCGGTGAAGGACTTTCTTGCAAGCCAGGACCCTTTTATTCGTGTAGCAGGTGATTGGTAGTAATAACAGAGCGTTTCACGGACAATGAATACCTGAACATTGACACAACCTTTATTAGAGTGCGCTATATGTTATGTCATATATTCCCCTCAGGCAGGGATAGCCGAGTGCTTAAGAGTGTAGACTCGCTTACCGGAGAAGACTCGTGAGGTTGCCGACCTCATGAGACGCAGGAATATCCAAGTCCTATGCCTGCAGGAAACGCGATGGAAGGGTGCGAAGGCCCGCGAGATCGGAGAAGGTGTTAAACTCTTTTACAATGGAGCAGACACCAAAACGGAATGGCGTGGCCATAGCGTGGCAGAATCCTCTCAAGTTACTGCGTCTTCGCACTGTGAAGCAGTGATCAGTGGAAGAAAGGAAGAGGACATACCACCATAGCTTTCTTCTTCTACTTCTTCTAAGTGGTAGAAAAGCCGTGGGGCAGCTGCATTTTACGACTCGTGATACGCTCCGTTTCCGCCCTGCGACGCAAGCCATTTCCCTTCTCCATCCTAGGTCAGGGAACGTCGTAGCTTGCAGAATTTCCAACAGAGGGTCGCGCTTGGTTGGGTAGTCGGAGGGGGGGAGGGGAACGTAGTACTTTGCCAAGAAGAAATTTTTCTGATTGTCGAGTTTTTCTGCTTTACTTTCCCCCTCGTCTTGTCTCGCCCAGCGGCCAGAAAAAAGTCGAAGATGACGAAATTCCACGGTCCAGCTACTTCTTACCATCCTGATTTCCTCTCCGCTCAGCAGTTTTAACCCCAGAGCAAATTATAGTAAAACCAGACTGGACAGATTAATATGTATGTAATAGCATCTTACATGGCATTGCTACAATGGGCGCAGTTCGGCTCGTAGGTGCAACCAAATGGTACACCACGAAGGCCTGGACAGCCTATCTTGCGAAGACCTGTGAATTCTTGTAATCAAAGTAGGTAAATCACTTGCACAATGTACCAAGACTTCACCTGTCTTACCAGTGAAGCCTCCTATGTGTCATCAACTATGAAAAGGAACTAGCAAAAGGGCAAAATGCCGGGTGTGTGACAAGAGAATAGTAATTTGCCGCGCTGCTGGGCGTCGCGTGCGACGTTTCGCCCCCAAAGGACGATGGTTTCCGCAAAGGACGATGGTTTCAGGCAGTAGATGGCGACAACGCACCCACTAGCCATTCTAACGAACTTAAGCGAAACTTTCTTCCAAGTTCTTGGAGTTGTCTCAAACTGTGCTAAAAATTCACGCATCCGACGGATCTAACGTTGTCCACAAATTTTCATTTAATCTAAGATTGGACGGACTTGTGGCAGTGAGGTCCTCATCAGCAGATTAGTCTGCTTATTTTCCATAAGTGAGGAGCGGTACTGTAGGTTGAGGGTGTGTCGAAGGTGGTAGGAACATCATAGAAACTATTCGATAGCTCCTGCTCAGAGGCACCTGGTATGGTACCTGGATGGGAATGGGACAGTAATTGTCATATGTACCAGTAACGTTACTAGAGTATAGTTTGCATTATTCTCGATTGATGTTTGATTTTACAAGATGAGTTTTTCCCCCAAGTGTCCCATAGGATAATCTAATGAGACAGAATTAATCGTGATCTGCATCAGAGAGAGTGAAGTCCGTGTACCAACAGTGAACCTCAGGCTGTTTACATGGCCACATTTTTTGAAATTCAACATGGCTCTGAAAATGACGTTGTCATGGATGACTCGGTTTTAGTAGGGCATTTTTGTCGTGCAATATTTGTTGTAATGCGTAGAAGAGTAATGTATGCCTTGCACGAGAATTTATTAATTTCAGTCTCCACGGGAAGGCTTGGGAAGCTCTGCCCTGTGGCAGTAGAGAACTTCATTGAGAGGAATTGAAAATCTCCTTGATCAATGCCGTTGTCTTCTTGGCAAACCCCTGAAAAAGCAGCTTACAACTAGTCAGAAAGTATGAGTTTTGACTTTGCATGATTTACCTGTCTTCTCGCATATCCAGTCCAAGTATTTACGCACATCAGTGAACGTATCCATTCGATACCAATTATTTGGGTGGAGAGGTGAGTGATTTTTGAATATTTGAAATCTGTAATTGAACGAATTGCGACACATTTATTGCACTAGGATATCCACTCATAATTTCGCTTACTGCTGCTTTACATTTCCGCTCCATCTAAAAATCTACGTCACAGTTTATCGTGTGGCACACTCTTTAACAATCATACTTGACTCGGCGAAGGGCTGCAGGGGAGATGATCTTTGGGACAACGTGTCGTCGCGTGCGCGACAATCGAACACCGCTGGCTTTTGGATCATCATGACTGTTGTATTTTGTTCTATTTATATATCTAGAGGGATATAGAAATTAAGTTAAAGAGAAAAATGCACAGATTCTGCTCGCGATTTTTACCTACTGATCCCTGATCATTGCTGTCACAATGCCTACTGGACCGCATACTCCCAGACTGGGTACAGCATCGTGATGTGTGGAATGGTGGTATCAGTACGATCCCCTCGAGGGAGGGTCGTCAGTACGACCCCTCCGCACCTCCTACCTACCAATTCTCCCTATATTTTCCAGTTTTTCATCCGAGATTTCCATCTATAGGAGAGGGGAGGGTATATGGAACATATGGAAAAGGAAAAACTGCCAGAAATCAACAACCGAGGACAATTTTTCCCCAATGCAGCAAATTTCTCGCGAATCCTCATACGACAGCGCATCCACCCACCCCCACCCCAGCGGAAAAGTACGACTCCTCCCTATATGTTCCACATAACGATGCTCTACCCTGCTCCTAGATACCGTACATACCGTCGCGTTTTTTAGGATCGACGGCCCGTCCTAACGGGAAAATGGCAGCAAATATCAATGTCGTCATACAAAACTATCACGAAAGCGCTTATGTAGTCAACGGTATTAACAATTATCGAGCACGGTCCTACTGAAATCTACAACACGGTAGCAGCTTCAAGCATCAGGTCGCCGAAAATCCTTCATTCGGTGAGGCCAGTCTCCCGGAAGAAGTTTCTATGCCATCACCACCGCTCCTTGATACCTGTGTTGCCCGTCCGCTTTCTACGGCTGTTTCTAAGGGATCGGGTGCTGTGAGAAAGGAGCGCTGTGTGATCTGCCGAGCTTTCACTGAACATCGATCCTTCTTGCAAAGTGGATAGCATTGTCTATAAACAATCTTTTGCCAGGCGGTAGGCGACTCGTGCTCAAAAAACCCATGATTTGATCTCAGAGAAGTTGGCAGTTACGGGGGAAAAAGACGACTGAAGTTAGCAAGGACTGTCAGCGCAACGGGGAAATACACTCAAACAGGGCGTACCTGTGATGGGCCTCCCACAAGATTTGGCAACCCGGTCCTCTAGAGTGTTCAGAGATAGCAAAAAAAGTAGGTGGGGGAGAGAAAGACTTGCCGAGCGTTGAGCATGTCTGCGCCGTGTTGAGATATGCCCATAGTGAGCGCAGCGTGTTTTTGATATGAGGTATTCTTTCCAAACCGTTGCAGTTCGCTTCCAGAAAGCTCAAGAGAGTGGGGAAAAGATAACTCAAGGTCAGGAAGAGGCGACCGGGTGTGGAGAGAGAGAGTGAGGCACACCTAGAATGGGCGAAGGTGGGCAGCGTCAAACTGAGAAAGCACGATTCCAGAGCACCAGACACCAGAAAATGGGTATAGGATCAGCAAGCAGCTTCCGAACGGGGAGGGGGAGGCAGGGTCTACATGCTCTGCTTTGCCACACGAAATGATAATGTTCCATTGATAGGTACATTGGAGGCGGGGTGCGTGTTATTATATCAATCGATATGAGTAGGCAAGACCTTATTTCCACTCCATTTTCTTAACACTGTGGTACTAGTATCAAGAGGAAGTGGCGCGATGAATCAAAAAGACATTGCAAAGTTGATACGCCTGGCAAGAAGGAATATCGGGCCCTACAGAAAGCCCTGCATGGTGCCTTTCCCAACCGAGGAGCACTCTTATAGTGCTTGGCGAAAAAGTAAGGAGGAAAAGTGTCTCTCTTTTGCCCCCCTGCACACGCACAACTTAAAACTTAGCGGTTAAAATTTGTAAGAAATGTGGCTAAAATATATAATTGAGTCAGCATAGATCTAACTCAAACACTTCCTACGTCAAAATTTTACAAAAAGTTGTGCGTCAAATGTGTTTTCAGGGAGATCACTCTGACTGCTTCTCAAGCAGGCAGGTTAATTTCTTCCACTAACAGTACGTTCAATCGTTCTTGAATTTATTATGAATTTCATGCTTAATAAAAAATGTGCTCCCCTACTGCGACAGCTTTCATCACCTTTTCACCGTTTCCACCAGCTCCTTACTTTTGCCTTATGTCTCAGCAGGTGCACGTGACAGTGTGCGCCAGCCAGCTGATAAAATATATATCAGGAAAAGGTCGGGTAAAGTATTTATTACGATACCTTAGTCGAGACAAGAATTTTACAACTTACGATTTGCACAAGAAGTGCTATAAGACGTCACACCCAACTGTATGAATCTGTTATCACCGTTAGTTTGAATGAGCGCACCTCCACTGTCTCCCTCAAGATATAAATTACATCCAAGAACAATTCAATTGAATGCACTCATTATTTTCAAAGAATTTACTCACGGGACATATTCCTGCTTTTAGAGGCAATAACACATCAATAACCTTGTTCCGTGTTTGCAGGAATGTGACATTCAGCTCCTGTAAACCAACTGGACTCTGGGAGATTTCCGTGATATTGGCTGAAATTCCATGAGGAGATTCCCCCGTACATTCATTACAGCGAAGCGGTCTTTCAAAGAAAAAAAAACAGATTGTCGAAGCGAACCACAAAAATCTATACTCATGCGAGCACTTACGACCCCTCGAGCCAGCTCCCACTGCAATGAGACCAGTGTTAATCGCTTGATATCTAGTCGGCATGCAAATCGGTGTCGCCTCGGACTCCGGAACATTTTCGTCAAGTTCTATTATTGCTATGTCGTTCACGTGAGTGCAGCCATCGTACTGCTCGTGATAATGCACCTTAGTCAGAAACATGATTGTGCTGTGAAACACAAGTTGTGGTACATTTGTGAAGCGAAGTTCAATATCCATTCCATTCATAGCAAAGAGATCAAGTTATCCGAGCCACGCCCCATTACTAAAATGGTTCTACTGTCAATATGTACAGGGGGGGCCAAAAAAAAGTCATTCCGGCCGAGTCACATATGAGCGAAGTTTTCGCAGCCCAGACAGAGGAAGTGGATATGAGTACCAGGGCGGAAGATACCCAAGATCTTCCTCTATAAGCAGGAGCCGGCTGCCGCCATTCACCTTCATGTACCAAAATATGAAGTCATCTCCAGTCGCGGCCTGAGTGGAGAACGCCTTTGGAATTCACGTGGCCTCCAAACAGCTGCGGAACTTCTTGAATGGAATCACCCATGGATAGCTACACCAGTACTCTTGATCTGCAAGACCTCCAAACATCGAGCAGCTCCGGCAACGTCGCTACGGTCCAGGACATCATCTTCACCCCATTCACCAAGGCGCGGGTTGATGGTGTGGACCGGCCGTACCTGGAATGGGAAGACGATATTTTAATTTCTAGCCCCCGACTGAAGGCAGCGCTGGGCAGCTTCATCAAGTAACTCGAGAGAAGGATATCCTCCCCACATGTGGTCGCCCGTACCTTCTTGGAGACCTTGTGCTGCTACAGGTTTGGGTGCCACCACATGGAATCGAAGGGTTTTGGAAAAACTCCCGCCTACTTCGAATGGAAGGGCGTTTCGTACCTGATGAAGATGTAATATTGAAATATGTCCCCTGACCTGAACCCACTCAATTACCTAGTTCGGGCGGAGCTCAACAGGGTGGTCTACAGTGGCGGAGAAATCAACGATCTCGCTCAACTCCGGTACCCACTCACTTTCGCGCGGCCGAATCTCTCGATGGCGCTCCTCCAGAAGGCTGTGGCGGAGTATCATTATAGTATTTAATGTGCTCTTTAATATGGTAGTAAAAATGTCCGATAAAAATTTAATAAAGTGTAACTTATAGCGCCTTGAAAGTCATGGAGGCAAAATGACTTTTTTTGGCCCCCCTGTATACGTTGGCGTAGAAGATGGATCTCTCCCAACGCAATGTGGGTCTTGAAATTCACCTGCTTTTTTTTCTCGAACTTCTGGGTTCTCTGTCGTGTGAAAGGAAGGGACGAATAGGGGGACAGACGGAAGTCGCGCACAGCAAGATCAAGAGAATAGTATGAGTGAGTAACGATAGCTTAGCTCATTAATCCTTTTATTGGCACCAACTCTGAATTTGTCATGTCATCTTGGGCACCATGCCGGCTCACTGATTTATTATATTTCTAGCAAGGACAGCGCGTGCTTAAGGCAGCGTTCAGACTTCGCGATCGCGTCGCCTAGCGGCGCGATGCAAGGCGACGCGATTGCCATTCGGCTGATTCCCAGTAATGAAGCCTGAAACTCTACAAGAGACGCTGAATGCATATCGATGATACTTGCCTGAGAGCAGTACTTTTGGCTGAAAGCCGACTTTGGAGGCGGAGTCTGGAGGCGGAGTCACTGGAAAAGGGATGTACCACTGAAGCAACTTTGCGCCTCAATTCCTTTACCGTACAATCTTTTCGTCGCGAAACTGGTACAGGGTTGTGCGCTCCGACCGCATTTCGTTCTCACGTGACTTCTTGTATTTCCATATTGTCATCGCGGACCGTTTCTTCAGAGAGGTCTTGGCAAAGCGCTCCAATGCAACCAGGAAAAGGAGGCGTGCAAATTAAATATTCAAATAAATAGGCTGACATTTGACTTTTTTCCTCGCGCGTGTGAATTCAAGCTCGCAGCATGTGGGTTAGAGCGCAACATTTTCTGCAGTGTGGATACACAGACACATCTGTCTACCAGTGGTACCTGAAGTAGTGTCCCAAAAGTGTTGAGGATTTCTAACTATAATAGCTAAATTTAAATAGCAATGGTATCAATTAGCAAATAATGGCCATAAATCATCAGTCTGCGGCGTATGGCTTTCCATGGAAGGTCTGAGACACGTATTAGAATATTGGAGCGTTTCATCTGACAATTCTGAATAAAGGGAGCGGTTTTGCTGGAATACTGTACTGAACATGCGGAAGTGTTTCGGGTTTCATTAATGCACACTTTCATTAGCTAGACGGAGTTCAGTTGTGCAAAAAAGCTAAGAAGCTAGTGGAAAATTTTGAGCTTGTGGTTAGCATTGGTTTTCTTCCACCTATGTGTCATATAAGCAATTTCAATGGAAAGGCGAAAAAACACCGGACCTTAGGAAGGGGCGAGAGCATTGTATCAAGCACCTTTTAGGGAGAACTTGACCCAAATTCCCACTGCTTTATGGCCCTGTGTAGGACTGATGACAAAGGGAAACAGGGTCGCACCAGAGGAGGAATTCTCGGTGGGGGTCGTATCTGCTGAGAATATTATGGTCCTGCAGAACGTGCTCTGTACGTCAAAGCAAATGAATTGTGTACACTCGTGGCTAAAAAATCAAGAGTCCGGTAGTAATAATGATAGCTTGAAAATAAACAACCGCAGCTTCAACGACACTCATTAATCAACTTGGAAACACACCTTGTATGCTGTCTTCCAGCCATCGCACCTTGCGTAATCAGTGCACTTATTACCGCCCAAATAGTACATAACTTCTGGTCGAACACAAAACTTCCTTGAAAACAGAATCGTAAGTATGATGAGCTAATCAGGAATTCTAGCTGGTCTTGGAACCTTTCTGGACACTTTTCTTGCTCTACTTGTGGTTCGATGCCAAGTGTCACGCAGTGGGCAGCAGTCAGTATGTGGCGAGGGGAGATCAGTGTTCCAGTGCACAAGCCGGCTGTAAAAGAAGTATTTCACAGAGGAAAACTACTTTGAGGCAAGTGGCACGATAAATTCAAAATATTAATACGCTTAGCAGGACAAAACTCCGCACTTCTGAGCATGCACTGCGTAGTGGTTTTTTCCACGTGAGGTAACCTTGTAGCGCATTGTCAAGCTGCTATGTACGGACCCCCACCGCGCCCGCCCGCCCACAAATGTCCTACCGACTATTCTCTCCATTAGCGAAGTATAGTAGGAGGTAAATAGTCCGATATGAAGCGGCCGCGCTGTTGCATAGATATACAGGGGGTGGAGGCAAAACAGGCACTTCGGCCGAGTTACATATCGGCAAAGTTTTCGCAGCCAAGACAGAGCCAAGTCAGAGGACACTAGCGCCAAAGTCAAAGAAGCGAACTGTCTTTTTCCTTGCCCCCTGAGTACATACGTGCACCCGTCTCTACCGTAGCGGTTATCAGGCACGTTGCCAACGGGAAATTCTTCTGAAACTGCTCTCTGCGCAGTGTAGAACAAAGGTTTCTTCGTAGGCTTTTGAACACTTCACTTCGCTTTTTCATCATTTCCCCACTATATTACATCCATGCTACCTATTTAGACTGAGTAAAATTTTCGTGCCTCATGCCTTTAGAATTACTGTCGGAACCCTTACGCTCAAGATTCAATATAGTCATCCATGGATACTCATCGATCATAAGCTTTTCCGCACCAAACATCTTGGGTACACCTGAATTACAATTACTGAGCCTATAGAGTTATTTGTAATTGAATACCGGGATTTCCTTTACACTAGTGGTGAATGGTTGAGTAGGCGAAGCAGGTGAGCGCCTCTTCCACTTGGTAACCTCCATGTGTGAAACGTTAAGGAGGAGAGCTCGCGAAGTGACAGCGAAAGAGGCAAAGAAACGCTCACCTACTGGAAACCTCGGGATCAAGCGTTACTTCACTAAAAATCCTCTGACTGGTGTGAACTCTTCCCGTTTTGGCTGTCTGAGTGAGGTTGCTAACTTTTTAAGAATCTCGTGTCTCATGTGTACTATAAAGCTCCCGCCCCGCACGACAGAAAAATTTTGGTAAATGTGGGAACACTTCCGGTAAAATCTCGGAGAGGAAGGTAGGAAGTTGGGGACAATCTTTGTCAGCGGAAAAAGAAAGGAAGTCGTATTCTTCTAGCGGTAACACTTTCCACCCCTCCCCCGCTGGAGAGAGAAAGATGATTAGAGGAGGAACTAGGGGGGGGGTCGTAGGTACGATCCCCTAGAAAAGGGGAAAACGGAATCGTTCAAAATCCCCAACTAACGATTTGCCCTGGTTCAGTATCGCGGGGAACCTACAAAAAACACCTACACTACAGTTGTTTATGATAACTGCTGTTTCACACCACCAATTCGCTTTGCGAGAGCTATACTACACTACAAAATTTTGTTCAATAACAGAACTTACTTCGATGTCCGGCTCCGCATGTTTTTGCGAGACGTGCGTTTTCCTCTGGTGTTAGTTTTCCGGGAGGCGCAAACGGCAGAAATATCCACCAAAACCAATCCAACATCGCTATAACTTGAATTGAGGAAAAACACTCAAAACACTCCAAACGTTGGAAATGAGAGGGCACACCAACGCGATAGAAGTTATAGATTCAGAATCTCCTTCCGCAACCCCCCCCCCCATCCTCACTCTAGCCAGCTTCAGTGAAGGCACCTCAATTTCTATCGAATGAGGAGATAGGAGGAGGAGATAGGAAGAAGGCATAGATGTGAAAACGTATTCGAAAGCTTCGTACAAAACAACAACAGCAGCTTTAAAGCATGAACGAAATTCTCAACAACTGATGGACGCTGATGGACACCGGTGGATGCCGGTAGGCGTTAGACCGATTACACTTTCCTAATCGCTGACGCGGCCAACGCTCGGAGCGTTAATGGTCGCTGGTAGACGCTGCGGCCAAGGATGAACACAGCCTAACTTTCCTTGTACAACATCGCGAACCCTTTTCCGTTCCCATACTTTTTTAAATAATTTTTTGATGCACGTACAGCATTCCTTTTTGTTAATTGCTGGTTTGATACAATATTTCCTGATCAGTCCGTAAACCCCCTCCCCTTCCCCCCTACCTGAGTCCTGTGACTAATGGTAAGGCACGTCCCAACTGCTAGCCACATGAATTATCTGGTGGGGATGCGCCTAATAAGGAGAGAGAACATATAAAATTCAGATTCAATGAAAGAATCGTCTGATTTGAACAATATATTCTGGACACTAACTTCAAGAGGAGTCAGAAACGAAGGCAGAACTGATTTCTCCCTCTGTGGCGGACCATTTTATAGTTGTAGCATGTGAATCATGGTGGAAAAGGGCGCTTCATGCAGTCGGTATTAAAATTGAAATTTTAGTGAGATATGATGTTTATATTTTGAATGTGCATCTAGTTGATATTACTCACTTTGTAATATGTTCGCCTCGATATTCTCGAAGAATCCCTTGAAAACCAATCTCAACACACGTCATCTTCATGACATTTCATTGAAAACTAAATGGGACGCCTCTTTAGTCGACACATTTCCTTTCCCCTCATTTATTTCCCGATTTCAATCGCCTGCTGAGAATATCGAAATAGAAACCTGAAGCCATTTTGATAGTTCCACAAACAAAGTTTTCCGCTCAAGACGTCATCAGCGACTGTTTCGCTCCCAGACCATGTAACGGACAGGAGCTCCGCATGTCATGAGAAGCCGTGCGCTTCTTTGGGATGACCAACATGGCAATAGAATTCGAACTGTGGTTTTTTTGTGTCTCTCTTCGAAAAAAAAACAAGTAAAAAGATTTTTGGACAGCACTTGTGTCCAGAAATCTAGTTGATGTGTATGACGTAAAATACAAAAAGGTTCTACATACTTTCATACTGCTTCTTAATTTTTGTCGATTTTTATTTCATTTGCAGGAGAAGCTCAAAATTTGTGATTGGCAAATAATGATCTAGGAATGGTGCTCCTTAGGATGGTTTGGAGTTGGTCCAGTCGATAAGGAGACAGGACTTCTGACCTTGCAAATGTACATCTCGTAGGGTGCCGCGTTGAGGATCGACTGCCTGCAGAACTCATCGACTGAGTTTCAAACTTCTCCCTTCAAGTGGAAGTGATACTCAATAAGAACGTGCAGCCTTTTACGAGGCCTACCATTT